ATTAGACATTTTTGCATTGGGGATATGTAGCAAAATTTCAGAGAGATTACTCTTACTTGATAATAGTTTTCAAGCATTCAGGGTCAAGAGCATCACATGATCCTCTTCCTTTGTAGGTTCGGAAATTCAGCAAACACTGCAGAAGTTGTGACAAATGTGTTGATGGGTTTGATCATCACTGCCGTGTGAGTTCCAATTTAGAATTTGAAATACCGAACTTTTTAGTTCTCCTTTTTATATGTTGTTTCATGTCTAAAGGGAACACAGGAAAATTTAACAAATTATTATCATTTCAGGAGATTGTTTATAGAACTAATATCCTGCTAATTTGGGGTTTCCACTATGTCTTTCTGTAACTCATTTTTGAAACACAAGTCATCCAAATACTGCTCTTTTCCCTATTGTTATTGGTCATATCTAATGTTCTAATTGGATGTCAAAATTCATGCAGTGGCTGAATAATTGTGTGGGAAGAAGAAATTATGTGTCATTTATATGCCTAATGGCAACAAGCCTGTTTTGGGTAAGCTTTTAATACAATGATACTTGCATTTTGTTTTTTACTTTTAATATTTATCCTCTGACCTACACTTTTTATTTGTGTGTCAGCTTGTTTTTGAATTTGGTGTGGGCATTGCTGTTCTTGTTAGATGTTTTATTGATAGAAGGGCTACAGAGCATCATATAAGGGACAGGCTTGGAGATGGATTCTCCCTACCCCCTTTTGCTACGGTAGTGGTATGTAGCCTACACCATTGTTTTTAATATTGTGCTTTGGGCGTTGTCCTTTACTCCTTTTGTTTATGTGCTTAATTGAATTGGAGTTTTTGGCAAATTATACCATGGACCAGGGTCTACCTTGCACTGTGGACCCTGGTCCAAAATAACCTTAGGATTATATGTTTGCAGTTGACATATTTTGTACCTGCAGTTAACAGTTTATGTATCGGTAAATAAATTGAATGCACATAACATGTTAACTACGATACAAAAAATGGTAACTACCGACATAGAAACTATTAACTGTAGGTACAAAATATATTAGGTGTTTGCAGTTAACATATTCTGTACCTGCAGTTAACAAATTATGTGTCAGTGGTTACCATTTTTTGTGTCTGTAGTTAACATGTTATGTGCCTTCAATTTATTTACAGGCACATAAACGGTGAACTGCAGGTATAGAATATATTAACTGCTAACACATAATTTTTGAATCTGGTGCACCAATGCAAGATGGACCCTGGTCCATAGTATAACAATTGGAGTTCTTCAGATTTTCAAATTAAATGTATGGATAGCTCATAGTTGTGGAACCATTAACTGGTTGCATAGCATCATTGTGGCATTCAAGCAATAATGAATATCATATATTAGAAAGCTACTGAAAGCGGTCTCTTTTGTTTGTTTTGTTTTAATTTATTTTGAGATGTATGCAGTTACTACCTTTGCCGTTTAAAGAACTTATAGTTCCTGGCTAGTCTCCCCTTTTCTAGTTCAATTTGGAGTTTGCAAATTTTAACCACTGTATCTGTCTTTTTCCTGGGTTGCATTTCAGGCATTGTGTACGGCGGTTTCATTGCTTGCAATTGTGCCGTTAGCTGAATTATTCTTTTTCCACATTATTCTAATTCGTAAGGCAAGTTTTTCTATCCTCTGTGTGTGGGTCTGGTTTATATTTGATAGATTGATTGGTGGACCTGTGTAAAAGCCGCAAGGAGATCATTGAACGGTTATTTTTGTTTTGTTGCAGGGCATCACAACATACGAGTACGTTGTTGCTATTAGGAGCCAAAGTGAACCTCCTGGGCCGTCAATAGATGGAGGTGATCAGCAAAGTTTGCCTTCGTCACCAACAAGTTCTGCGGTGACTGGTATAAGTGGAAGAAGTTCGGTTGGGCTGGGCTTACCCTATAAAGGTGCTTGGTGTACTCCTCCACGAATCTTCATGGATCATCAGGTACTTCTCGTTTTCTCCATTTCTTTTATTTATTTATTTTTGGGTAACGAGGGAAACCAGCAACCACTACGTGAGGGTGTGCACTGGGAAAATCTCGCCCTGTGACCCCAGCCGACAAAGGACCACAAGGGGTAAACCAGCCTAGATTACCATAACTGATTGACTCAAACCAAGAAGGCCAATAGGCTGCTCCCGTTGAGAGTCGAACTTGTAACTTTGTGGTTACTAAGTCAACAGTCTGACAAACTTGGCTGGGGTTGCCCCCAATTTTGTATGCCCTTATGGCTTATGCAATCCCGCTAACCAAATGAATGCTTGAAAGATGCACCATTCTTATAAAGCTATTTTCTTGATTGTTCTTATGATAATTGCATTCTTATATACGTTGAGTTAATCACTCAAAACTGAATTTAATTATATCAGAAATTATTTTCTTGTATAGTCGTTGAACTGTGAGACATTGCGTTTTTGTAGTTTATAGTAACACGCCTTTTCACCTGCGAACACACAGGACGAGATTATCCCTCATCTCGAGCCAGGACGTGTACCATCAACAGTTGATCCAGACACAGTACAGGCAGAAAAGGATAAAAAGACTTCACACCGTCCAGTGAAAATCAGTGCGTGGAAGCTGGCGAAGTTAGACTCGAGTGAAGCGATCAGAGCAGGTGCAAAGGCGAGAGCATCGTCTTCCGTGTTGCGCCCGATTAGTTCGAGGCCTCATCCTTATGACGGTGATACTTTATCGAGTGGTATGAGTGTGAAAAGCAGTCCGACTAGCAGTCGGGGATACTATGAAACCAATGCTAGAGCCGGGACGTCGAGATTATCCCCTTCCAAGAGCTCGTATCCACCGAGCCGAGCAAGCAGGGAAGACATTGAATCATGCGGCCGCAGTGTCAGCAATTTCAGCAGCCCGCTCCCGCCTAACCTCACACCATCTCCACTCGGGCAGCATTCCTCCACCCGAGCTCTGTCACCCGTGTCCTCCCAAGCGACCGATGTGAGCGAAGCTCCTTTACCAGCGTGGAAAAACTCGGGCATTTCCGAGACCTCGGGATCATCGTCGATCTTTTGGGATCACGAGGCTGGCCATTACGTGACTGCTGCCACCCGAGGTACTACTTCTTCCTCCCAACATCCCGGTACTGAGCTAACGTACACTGGTCAGTCTATATTTTTTGGCGGCCCCTTGCTGAACGAGCGAGTGACACGAGGGACAACAGCTGGCAGTGTAAGCTCCGTTGGCTCACAGCGAAGCAGACCGCCGAGAGGAGGTCAGCTTCCTGTCTTTGTTCCCAGTGATTCCCAGCAAAACCAGTTTTCTTCCAAGCCCCAATAAGGCTTAGAAACTTGGTTAGATACAATTTTTTTTTTTTCTTTCTCTCTTCAAATTGGAAAAGTTTAGATTTGCAGTGTTAGTTTTTCAAAGATTTGCCTTCACTCTCCATTAGTGTGTACATTAGACTAGAATTCCAGAGATGAATGTCATAACTTATTAGACATCTCTTTCAGCTAATTGAAATTCTTCTTGCAATGCCAAAGTAGCCACCATTCAATCTAAAGAAAGCCCTTTGATAATTTTCTTTGAATGAGCAAATCAATCATTTCTTTGTGGCTCTAATTTTCCTTACTTAAAAGACGGAAAATACTTCTCCTGAAAGGTTGAATCCTGAATCCCAAGAGCCCCCCACTTCGGCTCGACAGAGCATATAGGAGGATGTAAATCATGTAAATCATGGTGGCTCAATGGTTTAGCAACAGGGGCCAAATATTATATTTTCACACATTTTCGATTTCTAATGTCTTTATTTGTATTTTTTTTTTTTTTAAATTTTAAACAATGACATGGGCTATAGGCCAACTATTTGCATAGGGTTTAAGGGTGTAACATTAGAATGTGTCAACTTGTGCACATTGTGTGCCCTGGCCCAAAATGACATCGTTTGTACTTTATTATTATTTTTTTTTTGAAAATTCCGTTTTCCGTGTATGTTAACTTCTTAAAAAAAATTCATGTTTCAAATGTACATAATTGTATAATAGAATGTACATAATTGTATAACAGAATAGCTGTTAGCTGATTGGATTAATTAGAGGGTATAACTAGTTGATAGCATTAGCTGTAGAAAGGTGTTTGGTAAATTAGCTTTTGCTGATAGTTGTTTGGTATAATTTCTTTTTCTCAAAAAGTTAATTGAAAAAGTTGTTTTGAGTAGTTTTTTGAATTTTAGCATTTTAGAGTACAAAAAGCTAATTAACCAAACATTTATATTGATTTTTAAATCAAGTCAAATAATTAATATTGGTCAAATAAGCTAAAATTGGTCTATAGGTTAATTATTTTACCAAACAGGGTAATCTTTTTTTGAAAGGATAATATACATAATCTAACATAATACATAATTGTACAATAGAATGTACATAATTGTATAACATAATACACTTAAACTCCGTTGCGTCAATTCCCCACACAACTTTAACAAAACGACGTCGTTTTGGGCAGAGCGGGGCACACAATGCATTGTGCGCTCTAGTGCACGATATAACGATTGTATCCTGTATGACTGTATTATCTATATATATATTCATAAACCTAAATCTTAATATAATAGTGTCAATTAGTGCATTATGTTTAATAACAATATCATGTATTATATTCCATATGTTCATAAGCGTAAATCTTAATATACGTAAATACTAAACTAAAATATACATCATATGCATTTTTATTTATTTTATAATAGATTCATAATGTTCCATTACATAGATTAATTAAATAATACAATAATACAATCCTCATCGTAATATCAAATATTTAAAAAAACAGTGAAAATGATTTTTTTTCCACATGAGAGGTTATATGAATAACAGACTTAATCAAAAGATTGTTAATAATAATAGAACTTGTAATCTTTTGTTTCGAAAATCGTATTCAACTCACTCGCTCAGCCACGGCAAAGTGATATTTTTATAAATAGGATAAATGAATTATAAATAATAAATTTATCTTTTAAAAAATAAAAATAAAATACTCCGAATTAAACGTGCTTTATTGGTGCCAGTGAAGGAGACAGGGAGAAGAGGGGGGAGTTTCTGAGAGCGTATTATCCTACTGTTTCCCTCTTACTATCCGCCATTTTTAGGGCTTATCTAAACCTTCATCTCTCCCAAGAAGAGCAAAATCGCTCGCGGAAATATTATCTGCAGAAATGGAGACCTCGCTTAGGTACGACGGAGATTCCAAGGCGCTGAAACTTCATGCCAAGGAGAAACTCCCTCTCGACTCCTTCACTCATTTGCAGGTAATGTCATTGCTACTGTTCTTAATTTTTATTCTCTTGCATTTTTTCTTTGGAAATTTCTGTATTGAGATTCAGGTGTTTGATACATTTGCTTGGTTTCTTACTCTTTTGTTTCCAGGAACCTTGAATTTCTATTGCTATTGAATCAAAATAAATTTATTTTCTGGTGTACTTATTTCCATGTTCGCGTCCTTTTTAGTGAGATTAACATGTTTTTATGTATGCAATTCTTGTCGTTGAGTATAGATGAATGAACGCATCGGTTTGGTGATGCTTAATTTTGCTTGAATGAATATCATGTGATCAATTCATGTTGAGATGTGAATTGAGTCTTGGTAATTTGAGCATCAACCACTGTAGTAGGGTATGATGCTGTGAAAACCAGATTCAGTACCATGGCCACCGGTATCCTAATCCCTATAGTCATATTGGGCTTTGATTAATCTAGTGTTGAGTTGCTATTAGACCCCGTTTCGATGGGCGTTCTTCCCAAACTTGTTGCTCAACTCACTAGGTTCTAACGTGAGACCTTATTTAAGGGTATACTTCAGTTGGTCTTGAGGTTATTTGATTGTCACATTCCTTTGCAGAGTTAGTATGTGTCAGCTTACTGATATTTTCTTCTTCCGTGTGATTCCTAAATGATTGGCAGCTTCATGGGGAGCTAGACACAACGACCGGAGCTCCGAGTCACTTAAGTGCAATGATAAGACACTTTTATCAAAATGTATATGCTCCTATTCTTGCTTTTTATCTTTCGTGGACTGGACAAAGCTGTAACGGTTTCTGACTATCCTGCTGAAGGGAAAAAAGATTAAGAAGAATCAAATTAGAACAGTATAACTAATAAATTATTTGCTACTGCTTACTGAAGTTCAATGACTGGAAATTTTTTGTAGATATCTTCAACACTTGGTGTTGGTTTGCAATATGATAGGAAGGAGAAGCTTCGATACACTGTACGTGGAAAAAAATCTTTTTGTATCAGCCGTGATAGGCACTCTAACTTTCAAATCAAGGGGAGATGTGATGTAGATCAAGAATTTCAACAGGTTGGTACTTAAATGAAAATATAATTTATGTGTAAGAGTCTGTGTTGGTTCACTTGGTTGGTATTATTGTATTTATAGAGTAGTAATCTTGTCAATGCTTGCATAGTGTGAATGGATTACTTTGAAAGAGGTCTAGTACTCTAGTAAACATGTTGATATTCACTAAAGTGACTCAACTGGTTCTTTTTGCCAATTTCCTGTATTTTTGAATCTCAAACCTTGACAGAGGAAATCAAGTGGGGCAGCTGAGTTTGTCTGGGACATCTTGAACTTTAATAAAGACCAAGACCTAAGAATCAAAATTGGCTACGAAGCCTTTGAGAAGGTACATTTTCACTACATCATCTTCAGTTAATCTTTGAGATGGTCTTATTTAGCACTCTTTTAGCACCTTTTTTTTTTCCCCATGGTATCTCTGCTGAAAGTTGACTTAATATGTAGAAATTGCATTTCCATTCACTTTGCCTACTACATCAAGTTTTCCCTTTAGTAAAATCAATCTGCATTTGGCATTTCTATATATAACATTATAACTTTTGGTCTAAACTTTCCACTCTATTAAAGAATTTCCCACTTTTCCCATCTAGATTACACTGATGTTTACTGAGCATTTTCCACCTACTCCATAACCATAATTCTCTTTAGCATACTAGACCTTTAGTTTGAAAAAGCGAAATGAGTATCTTGACTCCATTCCTGCTTTTATCCCTTTTGTTGCGGTATCAGGTTCCATATGTGCAGATTAGAGAAAACAACTGGACATTAAATGCTGACCTTTCAGGTAGATGGAACGTCAGGTTTACCTATTGAGTTGCAGTCGAAATGAGATATCCCAGTTGCAGAAAATTGACAGTAAATTGTGAGAGATACATATAAGGTCCATTATTTCAGTGATTATGCATGTACATCAGAGTTCGGATGGTTTTTGACTCCATGGTTTTATTGTATTTTAAGAAACAATACTTCAGTTCTTACTCTTGCTTGGTTCATTTTTCTTTTGACACAATCAAATTGCAAATCAATAAAAATACACCTGTGAACACAGAAAAATTCAAGTATTAATGAAAATGTGGTACAATATGAAATATACTTTGCGTACAATACTGATGAATTTTCTACTATTAAAAATACTAACAAAAATATATAGGAATAAGGGTCAAATAGGCCACTCAACTGCACGCCAAAGTGCAATTAGACCATTGAACTCAAAAAGAATGCAATTAAGCCATTGAACTAAAAAAGAATGCAATTAAGCCATTGAACTCAAAAAGAATGCAATTAAGCCATTGAACAACACAAAAACATACAATTTAGCCCAAAATGACTTGTTTACCTAGAGTAACAAAGTACCAATTTTAAAATTAATTTTTTAAAATAATTTTTAATAAATACATAATAAAAATATTAAAAAAAAAAACAGAAAAACTCGTCTCCGGCCATGGAGACAAAGACCTTCGTCTCCATGGCTATGGAGACAAATTCGTCTCCGACCATGGAGACGACGTCCTTCGTCTCCATGGCCAGGGAGACGAAGGGCTTTGTCTCCATGGCTGGAGACCGAGACGTAGCCGGCCGGAGACGATCAATTACTGGTTTGTTTGTTTGTTTGTTTGTTTTTTTTTTAAATAAATATTTTAATTAATTATTTATTAAAAATTATTTTAAAAAATTAATTTTAAAATCGGTAACTTGCTACACTAGGTAAACAAGTCATTTTGGGCTAAATTGTATTTTTTTGTGTTGTTCAATGGCTCAATTGCATTCTTTTTGAGTTCAATGACCTAATTGCACTTTGATGTGCAGTTAGGTGACTTATTTGACCCTTATTCCAAATATATATAATCAATTGTACATTTGTACTATACTGAATAACTGATATATTTTGTTGGGGAAAATGAGTTAGGGTTTGGAGAAGAAGAAATTGAGATTGGGTTTCTTGGAGAAAGAAGAACAAGCTAAAAGTAGTAATTGTTAGAGTTAATTATCGAAATGATCCATTGACTATAGCGAAATTAACAATTTGGTCATTGATTTTTTTTTTTGACCAATTAAATCTCTCAACTTTAAAAATTTTAACCAATTTGGTCATCCGTTTGTTTGACCGTTAGTCAATTGTTAACTTGGGACCAAATTGGTAATTCGCTATAGTCAAGGGACCATTTTGGTAATTAACTTTAAGGGTGGGCAATTCGGTTCATTTTTGTCGAACCGAACCATAGCAAACTAGTTAGATTCGGTAATATACCGACAACCGAACGGTAATAGATTCTTGTATACTGAATGACATACACATATTAGGTGGGTCATCGTTGTCTCGCCGATTTTGCGTGCCATAAAAATCAAAGCACACCTCATCTTTTTTGTAGGATGGGACAGACTAGTTCGGCAGGCTAAGTTCATTTTAACGGATCTAAAAAGAACTCTTACAGAACGCATTGAACTCTAATGCCTATCTCATTAGCGGAAACAACTTTTTAAAGTTTAGAATTTAACAAACACAACTTATGAACAATTGTTGGTTTGCCCGAGAGGTTAAGGGGGAAGACTTAAGATCTTCTGCACAAAAGTGTGCATGGGTTCGAACCCCATAGCCAGCATCTTTCTCTTATGAGAAAAAATAAATTGTGTGTGTGTTGTGGGTTCAAGTCATAGTGGAGACAATATTATGAACATATATTACATTGTAATAGAGTCATGAGTATTAAAAACTATATACACATCAACATGGTAAACCTTTAAAATTAACAACATTGGAATTTACTCTTAATTTTATAATTCAAATTAAATTGATTAAATTAAACAAAATCATATACTATAAAGACCTTTTCGATACATAATTGAGTATGAACCTTTTCATTAAACAAGTTACTTTTTACATAAGATGAAATGTTTATGCATAAATATATCATATAGTATAGGAAGTTCAGTTTGTGTAGTAAAAATTTAAAAAAAGGTTTGAGGTATATTGAGTGCGCAAGTTACTTTTTACATAAGATGAAATGTTTATGCATAAATATATCATATAGTATAGGAAGTTCAGTTTGTGTAGTAAAAATTTAAAAAAAAGTTTGAGGTATATTGAGTGCTTGGATATGGATTCTCTCTTTAATTTAATTTAATAATTTATTTACCCTTTCAAAAAGAATAAATAAATCAATTTGAGTGAAACACATTCATTTTTTCCATATGGTCTTATATTTAAAATTTATAAATAAAGTAATTTGTATTAAAAACTTTTTAAATAAATCACTCTTATACAATTTGACTCCAAATAGAGTAACAGAAAAACCTAAAAATAACTCGTACGGGCTTAGCTCAATAGTTCGGTAGACAGTATTTTGGACGAGAGACGAAGGTTTGAATCTCAGCAGCGGCAATGTGGAAATTATGCCTAAAATGAGCAAATCCCATATGCACACCAGCATCAAATTTAAGTTTGAACCTCAGCGACGGCAGTGTGGAAATTATGCCCAAAATGAACAAATTTCTTGTGCACACCATTCCTTGTGTGCACCAGCATCAAATTTAAGTTTGAACCTCAACGACTGTAGTGTGAGAATTATGCCTAAAATGGGAAAATTCCTTGTGCGCACCAGCATCGACAGTGTATCAAAAAATAAAAAATAACAAATTTGTTTAACAATTTAGTAGGATATAATCTTTTTGTTTTTTTTTGAGTACTTACTATGTTACAATGTAATATCTCTTCGTACATACTTTTTCAACCTATTAAAGCACATACAACTATCCAGCTTGACCAAGGACTATCGCTATCCCGCTTGACCACAAAACAAGATATAATCGATTGTACTATATCGGCAACTCTTTGTAGCCTTGACTCCCGGTTGGAACAATGACTTGCCGGCGGCAAAAGGGACAGGAGGAGTGAGAAACTAGCCACATATCAATGCACCCTACATGGAAGCCATGACCACACGGCTGTAGCACTCGGATTTTGTCTCCGACCACATATTCCGTCAGACAAATAGCACATAATGAGAATATTTTGTTTTGTTCACCTGCAAAACTAAACTCCGGCAATGATTTTAAAGTTTTTTTACTCAAACCTTTGATCGCCGGAGTAGTTATCCGACAAAACAACCACGCATAAAAAGCATAAAAAGCAGCGAATAAAACGTAGATGATCATAATTGCCCATACAACAATCAAAGCGAACAAGATCGGTAGTTTGATACCATTAATTTTTGATGAATCTAATGTTGATGAGAACATGTCGGAAAGGCTGCTAAATACCAGCAAGAGGAAGGATGACGCCAACTGAAGCTTCTTCAGCTTTAATTTATATTATTAATTTTAGAGGGATTTTGAACAAAAAAAACTATTGTTTCAAATTCAAATTATTTTTAATCATTCATTTTTGGATATTCCTTTAAAATTTTAATATTTAATAACTTTATGATTAATGCCTTTCTAATTTATAAAAAATTTTAAATTTTTGTCTACATACCTTTTAAATTTGGAAATTTCATACCAAATTAAAATTTAAAAATTACCATATATGATAGATTAAAAATTTACTCCATAAAATAGTAAAATTGAATAACAATTTTATGAAAGTTTCAAATGTGGAGATTTTGTCGAACTGCCTACTTGACTTTTAGAAAGTTGCCATTTTAAATTTAAATAATGAGTAAACTTATTAATATAAAGATTTTGAACAATTATTTACTATTTGAAATTCAGCATAATTTTTACTCATTCAATTTTGGATATTTCGTTATAAGTTCATATTTGCTTATTTTATGTTTCCTGAAATTCTAATTAAGTTTCTAAATATGTAAATTAATATGGTCATTCATTAACATAAAATTAATTAATGTAAAATGCTAACTTTTAAATATATATTTTAACCTCGGCCTTGGCTCTCGGCCTCGCCCCGGTGACGCGGTCAAACTGTAACCGCCACTGTCTTCACATGGGGCGGTTACGAGAGAGTTTTTGGTATAAATATTGTCGTTTGTCATGTTATTACATAATCTTTTTGACTTGACATTACATATCTTAGCTTGTACTCTCACGAATTATTAATAAAGAACTGTCTCTTTAAGCAATGGTTGAAAAAATCTTTAGGCGCTCCTCGGACACTTGAGGGCGCCTAAGCGCCCGTGTATTTTTTATTTTTTAAAAATTTGTTTAATTTTTTCAAAAAAAAAAAATTTGTTTAATTTTTTTTTTTTTAATTTTTTAAGACTTGATAATTATAAACTACTCTCTATGTCCCATATTGTCTGTCATGTTTACTATTCATTGGTCAAATCAATTCTTTCTTTATTGTTTATTTTCTTTAGTAATTTTTAATTATTTTTAAATTTGATTTGTTGTATTTAATTGTAATTTTAATGTATTTTCTAAATATATAAAGTTTATATACTAATGCTAAACTTAATATTATGAAAAATTAAATTAAAAATAATTTTAGTCAAGCCTCGTTAACCGAATCAGACAAAAAAAAATGAGACAGAGGGAGTATTTAATACTTTAATAGTTAATAATAAAATATTAAACATTAACCTAAAAAAATCTAGAGTTTGAATAATTTAAGGGTTATTTGATTCAAAACGATGTCGTTTTGAGTGTAATAACTCATTTTTTTAAAAAAAAAAGGAATAATAGCTAATTGGTCGACTAGGCGACCTAGTCGGTGCCTAGGAGGCTTAGGCAATTAGCTAGCGCCTAGACGGGATTAGGCAGCCTAGTCAGCCTCCTAGTCACACACTAATATTAGTAACAACATACACATACTAGGTGGGTCATCGTTGGATTGCCGATTTTACGTGCCATAAAAATAAATGCACACCTCGTCTTTTTTTGTAGGGTGGGACAGACTAATTCGGCAGGCTAAGTTCATTTTAACGGATTTAAAAAGAACTGTTACGGAACACATTGAACTCTAGTGCCTATCTCATTAGCGGAAACAACTTTTTAAAGTTTAGAATTTAACAAACACAGTACAAC